GCTGTCTTCCCTCTAGTCCTATACTGCTAAATTAGGGACGGCTAGCGCAGATAGCCCTCGTGTAGCTTTGCGCGAAATTCAAAAACAAACTGCTTATATATCAAATCTGTTGTTAAGTTATGAAAAAGTATTATCACTGTTGCGAAAAATAGCTTATAAACTCGCTTGTGAACAGTAAAGCGTTTATACTTATTTGTTTATCAGAACCAGTTTCATAGGTTGAATATATTTTTAATTGTGGGATATTTATGTTTTTTGACAGCTATACTGATTTGATTATCAGAACCAGTTTCCTAGGTTGAATATTTTTATAATTGCGGGATAATTATGTTTTCTTTTTGTGAAGTTTGTTGTATACGAGTTGTTTGCGCTTTGTCACCTGATGTATAGAACATAGTATTTACAGTTCCAGAATCAGCATTCCGTATAACTAGTCTGAGCTATCATGTTCCTATGTTTAGTTTTTAATGAAGATTGAAGTAGTTATAACTAGAGAAAACATTATAAATTATCATTTTTCCTGCTATATATATACATATATATGTGTGTGTGTGTGTGTGTGTGTGTCAAGGAAGTCGTAATTTAAAAAAACATATAAAGTTCAGGAACGAGAATTATCGTTTTCAGGACAAAAGTGGATGACGTATTTACGCTAGGGTTAACCAAAACTTCTGATATTTTTGTTGTGATATGATGGTATTTAATTTCGTATCGGGTAACTACATTTTCAAATTGCTATTTTACTACTCGCTCGCAAAAACATTTTTCAAGCATTACTAGAGCCAGGGACATAAAAAAACAAGCAGAATAAAATTTAATATTCGAGAAAAGGGTGTTTTCCTTTGTTAACAAGTAAGAAATGATTAAAATCCAAATAAACTTGGCCATTGAAGATCTAAATGAAAGTGTTTAACTTGGGAATTACACACACGTACAACAAAACAACAGGAAGCGGTAACAAACGTTTTGATAAGCATACAAAGAGGTAGATAATTTTATTTTATATTTTATACACATTCACGAAGTACCATATGTATATATACACCTGGAAAAAAGTTAAGCACCCCCAAATATTTTTCAGGATTGCTTATTGAAAATAAGGTTTA